AATCAAGAATTCATGACTCTATAACTCTAGGGTTAACGGACTCTAGGACTTTGAGTTTTTGGTACTTTAGAACTCTAAGCTTCAAGGACTCCAAGGTTCTAGAAATCTTGGAATCTATGAATCTTGGAATATAGCAATCTTGGAATCTAGGAATTTAGGACTTAGGATAGAAGGACTGTAGGACTGTGAACTGTAGGAGTTTAAAACTTAGAAATATTGGACTTTATGTTTCTAGGGACTGAATTTTATTGATGGAAGTCATTTCCCAGATTTACCAAACCATACATAAAGCACGTTATTCCAATTTTAAACTTGTAAAAATATTCCAATTATAAACTTGTAAAAATGAAAAGTTTGAATATGTTGGATTTAATTAATTGTTCAGTTTCCCAGTAGTATCGTGCACCCGCAATTAATTGTTTAGTTTCCCAGTAGTATCGTGTTCCCGGAATTGGTTAGTTTACCAGAAGTATCGTGTACCTGGAATTAATTGTTTAGTTTCCCAGTAGTATCGTGTACCAGGAATTGGTTAGTTTACCAGAAGTATCGTGTACCTGGAATTAATTGTTTAGTTTCCCAGTAGTATCGTGTACCAGGAATTGGTTAGTTTACCAGAAGTATCGTGTACCTGGAATTGTTTAGTGTCCCAGTAGTATCGTGTACCCGGAATTGTTTAGTTTCCCAGAAGTATCGTGTACCAGGAATTGTTTAGTTTCCCAATATTATTGTGTACCAGGAATTGTTTAGTTTCCCAGTAGTATTGTGTTCCCGGAATTAAGAATCAGTGATTCTCATGATTTAATGAATCCTAAGGACGGAACTTTTGAAAGAATATATTCCTTACTTCGGGAAAACAGATAACTTTAACTTATATATTCGCGATCCACCATTGGCCGAGAGATTGGTCGAATCTTTATAGATTTCCAAAAGAAATGAACTTCGTTAGTCGGACTATAAATACCTGATGGTTTGAAAATATTCTTTTTGATTAAAAACAAACAGTCATATTAACTAGTAGGTTTAGCATTGTCATTGTTTAATTATAAAATATAAAACTAATTACCGGTTGAAACAATTTCTTAAATTATTTATTAATTTTGGAAAATTATTCAGTGAGTTGAAATTTTGTAGATAATGGACAAGGAAAATTTAAACTTTTTCAGTCAGTGTATGAAGAGTAAAGATGACAATGATAACTATAAAAGTCAAGGATGCGAAGGCCCAGGATGGGTAGGTAAGAATGAAAAGGGCCAGGTTGGGAAGGTTGGGAAGGATGGGAAAGTAAGGATTGAAAGATATGGCAGGTTGGGAAGGTTCGGAAGATAAGGATTTAGATGGGCAAAATGGGAAGGTTGGGATGAATAGGGGCAGGTTGTGAAGGATGGGTAGGTAGGGATGTAATTGTGAAGGTTGGGAAGCATGGAAAGGTAGGGATGTAAATGGGCAGGTGGGTAAGGTAGGGATGTAAATGGGAATGATGGAAAGGTAAGATTGAAAAAGGGCAGGTTGGGAAGGATTGGAAGGTAGGGATGTAAACGAGAAGGATGTGAAAGTAAGGATCAAAAGGGGCAGGTAGGGATGGATGGGAAGTTAATGATGAAAATGTGAAGGTTGAGGTTGGGAAGGTAAGGATGTATTGTGTAAGTTTGGGAAGGATGGCAAGGTAAACATGCAAAGAGTAAGGCTGGGAATGACGGGAAAGATTTTGGAAAGGGTAAGTAAGGTTGAGAAGGATGATGCAAGGGGGTTGGAATGCTGGGAAGGATGATGCAAGGGGGTTGGAATTCTGGGAAGGATGTGAAAGAATAATTAGAAAGAACGTAAAGGGTAAGGTTGGAAGGAAGGATGATGGAAAGGGTCGAGTAGGATGGGAAGAGAAATGTTGAGATGATCTAGGTACCAAGATTATTAGAAAGAAAGCTCTTCAAATGTATAAAGGAGTTTGCAAGTGTGCCCCCGGCAAGGAAATCCATGTACAGGGTTTCATTTTACAATCTTACAAATCATCGTAAAAATACTTCTCTATTCTTCTCTATACTTCTCTATACTTCTCTATACTTCTCTATACTTCTCTATACTTCTCTATACTTCTCTAGACTTTTCTAGACTTTTCTAGACTTCTCTAGACTTCTCTGAACTTCTCTATACTTCTCTATACTTCTTAATACTTCTCTATTCTTCTCTATACTTCTCTATACTTCTCTATACTTCTCTATACTTCTCTAGACTTTTCTAGACTTTTCTAGACTTCTCTAGACTTCTCTAGACTTCTCTATACTTCTCTATACTTCTTAATACTTCTCTATTCTTCTCTATACTTCTCTATACTTCTCTATACTTCTCTATACTTCTCTATACTTCTCTATCTTCTCTATACTTCTCTATACTTCTCTAGACTTTTCTATACTTCTTAATACTTCTCTATACTTCTCTATACTTCTCTATACTTCTCTATACTTCTCTATTTGTCTCTATACTTCTCTATACTTCATTATACTTCTCTATACTTCTATTTACTTCTCTATTCTTCTGTCAGGGAAAATATTTTGCATATTGCAGATAATAAAAACTTAAATGTAGAGAATAATCATATGAACTTTGTTTTAACTCGTAGATTTCCTTGAAAGCCCAAAATCCCTGAATAGTACAAAAACCTAATCTATGAGGATGTTCATTGTCCATTGTCCAACTATATACAATTTAAGGATAAAATCTTTTTTAAGTAACAATTAATATAGTTACTATTAAGACATGCATTAAATGTCCCAAATTACTCAATACATGTTCATTCGAATTCCGTACATTCCTGCATTCTTGACATTTTTATTTGCGTTGGTTTTGCATGGTTTAAAAAAAAAATTAACAGATAAAGGAATTTGGTCTGTTCTAAACTATACCTTAATTAGGAACCCAATGTTATAGACCTTAGATATTTCGAACTTGAATTCTGAAATCAATTCATCTAAGTTTGAAATATCAAAGGTTTGCACCATCAAGTTGCAAATATATATGTAAATATTTTAACATTTAATTTGTGGCAAAAACTCGAAGTTCCTTTGTAGGAAACTCACATAAAAAATAAAGAAATGCGCGGAATAAAGCTATAAAAACGAGTTCAGCCTCGATTTATACTTTGCTAGTTTGAGTTTCCTGGCAAAAGTGGATCCACGTTAGTTTACAATATCTAAAAATTGAACTTCAGAATAATTTTACAAATTGCTGTCTCAGATAATTGAATATCTTCCCAGCGTTCTTTCTGAAGATCTGAAGAGGGACTAGCTGCAATCTGAAGATGAAAGTGCAAAGGATTGCAAATATTCAATGGGAATGCAAATCCGCGAAAAAAAATGAAAGGTTATGTGTGTGTGTGCAAATCATTCAGAGATGTATCACGGAATTTTAGTTTTAGAGTTGAGAACTGGAAAAAAATAATGTTTATTATGATTACACAATTCCTCACAAATTTTAATACTTTTCAATTGAAAAAAAAGATTTTTTTTACAAGGTATTTCTAATGTTTGAAAGTATTTTGAACTAACTGAATGGGATGACTGTATACTTGACCTATTAGGGTTATATAGGCTTTTCAATAACTGTTAAAACCTTAACTTATTGTTTAACTTTTTGATATACAGGGCGTCTGAAAAAACGGGGAATGCGTCTACGGACTCGTTTGTAACCCTATTATCAAGGTTGAGACCATTTTTAATATCTACCTACAAGTTCCGATTCACTGCTCAATTTTAGGCTTGTAGATCTAAAAATAACAATTGTACTGTAATAAACTGTAACGTAACATTGAATACAAAATTATGCAAATGGAGATTATCTTTTACTTTTTACTTCGCTCCAGTTGGCCACTTTAGTAGCCTATGAAATTGTTATTTTTAAATCAACAAGCCTAAAATTGGCCTCATTGAATCGGTAATTGTACGTAGATATCAAAAATGCTCTCAGTATTGAAATTCCAATTACAAGCAAGTCTGTACACCCTAGTATAAAAAATTATCTTATTTTTACAAAATTACTCAATCCAGTAGAAAACTTTAGAAGTCTTTAAAATTGTCATTTTTAAATTTACAAGCCTAAAGTTGGGCTTATCGTAAATTGTACGTAGATTTTAAAAATGGTCTCAATCTTGAAAATCCGATTACAAACGAGACTGAAAACCCTTATTCCCCGTTTTTTAGACACCCTGCATATCATTCATCTCCCCCAATCCCCCCTTTCCATCATCCACTCCCCCAGTCGCGTATTTAAATTTTTTTCCTTCAGGCCTTGATATGATTTGCAGAAATTCTTGGCTCATATTTTCATTGTGGTTAAAAACAGCTAAAAATAACTAAATAAAAACAAAATTATATTCCTAAAAATTGATTAGAACTGATAAAAACAAAATTATATTCCTAAACATTGATTAGATCTGATAAAAACAAAATTATATTCCTGAACATTGATTAGGTCTGATAAAAACAAAAGGAATCAAAGTATAAAATATACTGCAATGTACTTCAATGTTAAGAAACATTTAAAAACTCTCCATTTCTTTTTTGGATTATTCCTGAACCCTGCCACCAGGAACACCTCGACCAATTCGAACCCTGCCACCAGGAACACCTCGACCTATTCGAACACTGCTACCAGGAACACCTCGACCTACTCGAACCCTGCCACCAGAAACACCTCGACCTACTCGAACCCTGCCATCAGGAACACCTCGACCTTCTTGAACCCTGTCACCAGGAACACTTAGACCTATCCGAACCCTGCCACCAGGAACACCTCGACCTATTCGGACCCTGCCACCAGGAACACCTCGACCTACTCGGACCCTGCCAACAGAAACACCTCGACCTACTCGGACTACCCCGCCTTGTTCCTGGTTCTCCAGGTCCTGGGTATATTTGTATCCTGTATAACCCTGAAACTACTCCTGAGTTGTGAGGTTTGGCCGAGGAACCGGGGGCGCCCAAAACTCTTGGTTTCACTGTGGGAGGAAAGTGAATGGTAGATGCTAGACGAAACTCTCAGTTCCGACCAGACCGTCCACAGAGACGGACCTGTGACTTCACGTGAGGTTTGTGTGATTTTTCTCTATCTCTTCGTTCTACTATACACACTTAAGGGGTTGGTAAGGCAACGTTTATTTCTGTAAATACCTTCTTTGTCGAAAAAAGTAGTTAGGTCACCTTTAACTTGCTTTTTTCCAAGTTAAAGAAAAAAGAATTTTTACAATCTTGGAAGAGAAGGTCAAAATGCTCATCTTTCTTCACACTATCCACCCTTATTACAAAAATCATGATAATAATAATTTATAAACTCCTAATTCATCGCGGAAAGGTTACAAATGTGTGGTAAAAAGTTAATCTGGTTTACGGCAGGAAATCATTTGTAGTTAGACGTCGGAACTGAGATCATCTGATTACACTGGATCGGTAGAAAAACTGCTGAGAATTTGGTTTCAAATGGATTTATTGTTTCGAAACATATTCATCGGCTCAATTTTTATCTAAATCATTTCCCCTTCAAATTATGTACATATTGCATTTCCTTTTATATTCACCGCACATTCCTCACATCTTTTAACAGATCAAATTTTACAGTCACATCTTTCGGGTTTAATGAAAAATTAAATTGATTTTGAAATCTGATTATCACTCTTGTCTTTAAAACTTATGGATTAAAGGAAAATATTCTAAAATCAGGGTTGGAGATTTTATTATCATTCGTGAGTTGTTTGTAGAAAACTTATCTGAGGTTCCGCCCTTTTACAATAAATATGGGATCTTTTGATAACATGGTGCAATGTATTTGTATATTTAGATTCTATTAAGATAATCTTCTCACAGCCTTTGCAACAATTTCAGATTTTCCAATATCTGTACAACCCGACGTCGTAGACCTTAGCTATTTCAAAATTATAAATTCTTTTAGATTAAATAATCTAAGTTTAAAATATTTTAAAGTTTATTTTTTCAGATTTTGATATAGTGATTAGAAAATTTGAGTTTGTGGCAAAGACTCTATTCCTTTGAAGCCTGAATATTTAAATATAAAATTGCAACTTCTGTTTTTCCCTTGATCCTTTCTCATTTCTTTTAATAGGAATCTCTGTATTTGATCACAAGTTTTTCGCATTTTTCTTTAGAAAATGATTGTTTCAATTGTGATTTTTCACATTTTACCTGAAAAAAACGTATAATTTGACAAATAGCGTTTTCAAATATTCCAATCATAATTCATATCTGAGAAAGATTTGAGCCTAATAGGTGAGAATATGTGACTGATTACTCCGATCCTGGGAGAAATATTAAACCTTTCCCTGGACTACTCCCAATTCAGGCAACACAATTACATTATTTAGAAATACATGTGCACCGTTGTCTGGTTTAACTTAAACTTGAACCTGAGTGACTCCAACTCCCTTCTCCTCGGGTTAATCCTTAAATTAATTGGTTTAAAGGTTTAAACAATCCTGAAACCTGTTTATTCTACTCTCTCTTTAATAAACACTTATGCAGTTCTTATAAAGTGGTATTTTCTCATTCCTTGGATGCAAATTGCGGGGTTTGATAGTTAGTAAACTAGCAGGGTTCGTATCACCTTTATCTCAAACCTTATCATCCATACATATCAGTACTTCATTATTAAACACAGTTGGTTTATGTCCACTTGGAGAATACTACAAACATTTTTCATTGCTCATAATATTTTTTGTCTTGTAGAATACAATGCAAATTGTTGGGTTTGAATACCTACAGCATCAGCCATTTTTTTGTTAAGCATCAATAAACTTTATACAATCTTATTGTAAATGTAAAAGTGTCCTTTTTTGGCTTGAATGTTTAATTTATGTGAAATTCTTGGTAAATCAGATGTATCAATCATTTGAGCCTGGTTCTCCTGGTTCTCTCCTTATCCATATAGAAACATACACTCCATACACTCATTTATCCAGAGCCAAGTTAGTGTCGAGTATCCACTGTTAGCTTGACAATAGGCTCGGAGAGGAAATTTAAGTTTATAAACTTATAAACCAGATATATATTGATTCAAGATTTTATCAGTGTTGTGTGGCAAATTTTTAAAAAACCAGACTTTTAAATTTTTAAATTGAAATAAATCTCCGATGGAAAATATTAGTTGTCATAAACTAGTTGATTGCATCGAATTTTGCGTACACTCCCTTTAAGGAGCAAAAAGTGGCTAAAATGAATATTATATGGAAGTTCTAACTGAAGGCGTGAATTGTATCTGCTGAATTGAATTATTTAAAGAAGTTTGAATATTGTACATGGGCAGTGCTTTCCTTCAAGTCATACTGCATACATTTACATATCCAACATTCCGACCGGCATAGAACCTTTTCACTTTACTCAAGGTAGGAATAGATATAGGAGAACAGTTTCATTATTCATTGTCCGAATATTTAGTCCGGTTGAATAGGATAGGATGGTAGTTGAGAGTTCAGACAGGACAGGGATTCTAGGATATTTGTGTATTTAAAATATATCTGTCATTTCGAAAATATTTCATAAATATCCCATCTGTCTTTCTGTCTCGTGTTTTTAAAATATATCTGTCATTCTGTCTCTTGTTTTTTTAATATATCCTATCTGTCCTTAACACATAGATTCAGCCTACTTATGAAAAGGCTCATCAATTCTTAAGCCAGGAACGACTTTGACGTGTTGCAACACCTTCGGGCTTTGATTTTACCGCTCTTACAATTATGCTTTGTGTAGCCCTTTACATTAGCACAATAAAGCACTTGTTCTTAGCTATGGTTTTTAAGAAGTAATTGGCAAAATTCTCATAGATATTTTTTTGGGAGCTGAGACCTTTAAATCATTTAGCTTTCTGTCTCGTGATTTAAATGATAAACTAGCTGTCCTTCAGTCTCTTGTTTTAAAAAAAGAAATATTATCCTTACTTCCATATCTTGTTTTTCTTTCTATCTTTCCGTCTCTTTTTTATAAAGGTATCCTGTCTTTGCGTCTCTTGTATTGAAAGATATTCTATCTGTCTTTCTGTCTCTTGTTTAAATACATTTATTTTTGTCAAGATACACAGGAGGCTCTTTGGGTTGTGTTGATAGAAAGGATTGATCCCGGCTCCGAGAGCTCAGAAACCCACTGACCGTTTTTCAAAATATTAAATTATATCTAAAATAAAACCTTGATTTGTCAGCAGACATTTTATAGTTTTATTAGAACATTAAACGATGAAAATACTTAATTACAGTCATGAACATAATATCCAAGAGATACAAAATTTAATGTGAACCTCAGCTCAGACTGGGAAATATTTTCACCTATTTTCCCGGTGATAATTATGATACATCTGGACATTTATGGGTTTAACTTTTTAAATACGGGTGAGTGCGTGGGTGCTGAGGGGGTGTTTATAGCTAAGGTTGGATTTAAACTAAGCAGGAAGAATAAATGGATTATATAATGAATTTCTATTGTACTCTATTGCATAGTATAGAAAACGAAATCAATTTATTCTTTAGATATATCCCTGCCCTGGCTTGAGGGGGGAAATTGATAATAATTATCTTAACATAGATCAGTCGAACCAGGAACATAATCAGGGTGTGTAGGCAACCTTGGGATACAAAATTGGACGGAATGTTTTTATATGGATGAATTGACGAATAAAACGATTTTTTTATAAATGTTAGTTTTTCAGGAACGGGAGGAATAAAGAAAGTTTAGATTTTTGAATAAATAAAACAGAAACAAGGATGAATATCTGGATGAATAATGAATAGGTAACTGTAAGAATAAATGAATGAATGAATAAATAGTTGAATGATGTCGGTGTGTGCAGTTCCTTGCGTAATTACAGGAAGCTGGTATAAGATTCGTCTCCTTGTCCCCCGGCTCTTATCCTACCATTCTTATAGGCAGAAGATTTATTTTAATTAATTTACCCAAGGTTTCAAATCTTAAAATTGCAAGGTTGGGATCAAATAGTAATTACTCCGATCCTTGTTGCAGGTTGCGGAGGTTTTTAGTGAATAATGAATATTTTGTTCCCATGTCCATCAGATCCGTCCTTGTTATAGATTAGCTCTCAAATATATTCCACGGGGCTGGGAGAATCTTACAGAAAAGTTGGACCCAGGCCTGGACAAGTGGGGCGTCACGAAGCGTCAGGTTGATGCACGATCATTTCTTTGACGCAATGGGGTTGGTTTCCATATTATCCTTCGAGAAGATAAGATGAATTAAATCTGTACATCAAGGTTCTGATAATCCTTTAATCCTTCTGGATGGATCCTCTCAGATGAGCTGAGATATACACTTGATGAATTCTACCCGCAGCAAGGTTTAATCTTATCCCTGAGAGAGTTTTTCCATCCTTCTTTTATCATTGCTCATACTCAAGTTTATCTGATCCCAGAGAAGAGAAGAAACTAAAGTGAACCAACCCAGTGCAAAACATCCACCCAGATGAACTTATTTCGCCAGACAAAATTAGAAACATTCTAATCTTTCGGACAGAGCTCAGCGGCTTGGGTTGATGTTGGACAGTTTATTTTGTCCTAGTTTTCCTAGTTTATCCTAATCTGTCCATCCAACCATGCTTCCTGTATTAGCATTCAGTTAAAGAACTTGAACCTCAACTAATCTCTCAGGATTATTCGAAATCTAAATTCTCTGATTGGTTTTTAGATCAAGTTTCCTTCGTTATTTGTAAGTTCTTTATCCGATTATATAAGGTTTGACATAAAGTCTTAGTTGAGTACATATAAGCTCTGACTGGAAATAAGATTGAAATATTGTCGATTCATTTTTCTTTTTGTTTGAAATGATTTCTTTGAAAAGTGTCAAACATAAATAAGTGTTAAAATGATTTTACTTGTCACTGTGGGCAGAGTGTGTCTATACATTATTATCCTGTTAAATTTTGAAGTTTTTATTAATCTCTCCCCTCCCCCTCCTCTATCGCAAAATCATTTTCCTTATTCTTCGTTAACACCCCTCCAACCCCCAACCCCTTTAATTGTTGATGTAACAATCTTTGTAACGTTTAATCTTGTAATGAGGGGTTAACTAATTATATAAT